CCTTTAGACTGCTTGTAAGTAATAAGGAATCATTTTTTCTAATGGATGTTTCTGTAGGAAATGTAAGAAAAACGTTTATCTTCCTGACCAGATGCTAAACGTAATTATACGATTACGTAGGAAGGAAAAGAAAGTAGACAGGATTTAAATGAATCAAACAGTATTAAATAATAAATGAATTTCCATAAGCTGTTATCGTTTTAATGTTCCAAATCACCGGGGTTTGTTACTGTTCGAAAACGGGCGAGTTTTCGCCGTGAAAGTGACACGGCGAGAGTGAAGGAGTCGGTTTATCCGGATGAACTTCATAAATAAAAGAAGAGCCCCACGGCCCCTTTCACCTTCCGCATACGTTACCACACTTAAGACTGGCCCTAGTTCTACCTTCTGCGGATGCATTTACCTCGCCGAGGTTATTAAAGGTTGAAACTTTGCCATTACACAACTCAATTGCAAGCTGGATTGCGGATTCAGACCATGTTGTAAAGTTAGAGTACTCAATAGGTCAGTCAGTGGAGACGACCAACACTTTCTAACATCTAGGATGTTTTCTTCCTCATTCCACCAGCGTATTCCTGCAATAAGTAATGTCTACTTTTTATAGTCTTTTTAATGAAAATTCATTTTAACTCTCTTTTTACATGTGTGGTGTTTAGTGACCGTTAGCCAATGATTATTCGGAGATCGTGAGATGAGTGCACTCTCTACACGGAAAACAAACACTTTGAGGTTTGAAGATGATCTCAATAAAGACGAAACGTTGGCACAATAAAGAAAATGTTTTTCTAAAACCTACGTCACACCAGACCGCATCTTATGATCTCCCAATAATCTCTTTTTACATAGGTTCGACGATTTCTGTGATCCTAGGATATCTAGTCAAAGTACTTTCTTCTTATCTAAAATCCGGTCACTTCCGTGTCCACCTAAAAAATGTAAACTCTGCCCCTTTTCCTATAATCGCCGGAGTGCCCCAAGGTTCCATACAAGGACCAACCTTTTTCTCCTATTTATCAGTCCTCTCCCTAAGCTGAAAAATTGTCAAATCGTATTGTTGCCGACGATATTGCCCTGTTTGTCCGGCCTGGAGGCCAGAAACAATTGTGAGGAGAGTTACTGAAGCTGCAAATAGGGTGTCCCGTTTCTGTAACCGGTGGAAACTCGAAATAAATTCCCCCAAAACTGATGCCATACTTTTTACCATGCGTCGCCCTATCTTTAGAGACCAAGTATCTGTTAACAGCTTGCAAATTCCATGGGATGAAAAAATGAAATACTTAGGCGTTATTTTGGACAGCAAGCTCAATTTCTCTAGTCACTTGAATGAAATCATAAAAAAAAGGGAAGGTGCTACGAGGTATCTCTTTCCGCTTTTGTCCCACAACTCTCCTTTACAAAGTTGTGGTAAAGCAGCCCTGTACGCCTGCCCGGCTTGGAATTACACCTCCAGATCAAATTGGAAGAAGTTAGAGTGCCATACAAAATTTCTGAGGTTGGTAACGCTTTCGAGCCGCCGCACTAAAATTAGCCTCCTCCATGAGATTACAAACGTGAGATTGATATACCACGAAGCTCACTGAAAACTTTTTCAATAAACTGATTGATCACGGAAATCCTACATGCCAAGAAATTTTTACCCTAGGAATACCATTTGGAAGCACAGGAGAATAAAACATATATTAAACTAATAATCAGGCTAAATATGTATATGCGTGTGCATGTATGCACACAGCAATCTTGTATTATGTATACGAACGTGTATATAAATGTACATACGTTGCATATTTGTTTGATTATTAATCTTTTAATTTATTAATGTATTTATCTTATTAGTTATTTATTTACTTATTTATTTGATTTGATTAAACTTAAATTGATTATCCTATTTATTATGCCAAGTTACTGTTATATTTTATGTTGTTATTATATTTACACATATCATTTACTCCTGTGACATCGCGAAAGCTACTCAATTCAGTATGTACCTGATTTCATTTTGCTAATATCCTATTTTTGCCGGTTTTTTTTGTAATTTTCCACGAGCACAATATTGTTAAAACGTCTATATTTAGACTAGGGATCAAATAGATCAATTATTGTAACGGGATGTAATAGTTCCCTGCTACTTCCCCTGAAACTTAAAGGATTGTGTTCTACGTAAATTTATTACAAATAAAACAAATCTAAAAATCTGATTTCGGTGAAATTATGAAGGTATCATTTAAATAAATTTAAATGATTAGGCTCTACTAAATTAGGACACATTCTAATTTCATTGAAAGGTGTGACTGGTTTAATTTTTTTACGCAATAAAGGTCACTGGTACGTTACTTATATGGAAGAAATTTAGAGATGTGCCTAACTAGATTGCCAAACTAAACACATCCGAACTAGAGAACAGAGAACTCTCAGACTTCCAGGTCACTAGTCAAATATAACTATATACAAACGTTTGAACAAAGTGTAAAAACATAAATGGTTCGTCCAGGGGGAATCTTTGGCACAAATCGCCTCTCAGGGGGTGTTTTGTATTCCCTGTGATGAAACCGTGGTCACACCTGCGTGTAACGGCCGGGAATCGGCAACTCCTTGTAAGCGTTTTTCTTTGTTGTAATAACTTCTGCAACCGTTAAGGCGTAAAAGAAAAATTACACAGAAAAAAGTAGTTTTATTAGAGAAATTATTACATTGACGTTAAAAGTCTTTTGATCGGAAGGTAATTTAAAATTAATTTTTGATCATGGTCAATCATGGCAAGCTATTTTGTCGCGTTATATTACTGAAAGCGTTTCACCTTTTCAACGAACAATACGTGTCATCGTGTTAAATTTGGCTAACCGTCTTATCTGACATCCGATTTAAAATTTGTCAGGTGATTATTAACACTTTCGCAGAGATATGGGCCCGGCTGATCTCGCAGGTTTTCTCTCTTCAACACTAACTAAAATATTAAATCTTGTTTGTTTAACACCCACTGTATTGCACTTAATTATAAATAAAATTATCACTTTAATTTTATGGCCTTCCAGTTTTAAAATAATTTCAAGGTTTTCTTTACCATTGCAAAGTTGATTGATCTGTCCCGAAGTGCGAATAGTCTCGCTGTGCGTTTCATATATTCAAATAACAAGTTAAGTATTACAGGCTTATTAATAATTGGATTTTTGGATTAATTCCAGTTACCAAATTTATTGTAAGTTATACTTTTGCATTTGCCACTATACCAAGGTTATCCTCAGTACCCATTTAAACAACATTCATCACGTTATCCCAGATTTATTTTAAAATATAGGACAGTTGTTTATGTGTATCTGCACATAACTAAATTTAAAATTATCATAATTCGGAATACAATGCACCACCTCTCGTGTTCTGGATTCCCCAAAACTACTTCCATTTTACTATTTATAGTGAACATTTCAATCCATGATTACCATAGCACGAATTATCTTGGTAAACAGGTTCATAATTAAACGTAAGCAAGTAGAAATATTTGCCCTTCTTAACAACAGCTATTATTAAATTTCTTGTTCTGAAAGCACTAGAGTAGCCCAAGGCAACGATTTGCGCCTACTGATCTCGTGACGCTCCAAACTCTTATTCACATCAAACTTTAACTAAATTTCGATAAAACTAATTTGCAAGTGAAGATAATTATAAATAATGAGAATATGTAATAAATTCAACGGTTTTTTCCAAATGCAGGGAAATGGTAAATTTGCATCTTATTTGATTTCCTACCGTACCAATGCAACTTGTGCAACTATACGGATTAATTTTTAATTTCGTTTGCAAACGCAGAAAGTGTCAGCACATTGCCACAGTTTTTACTTCCCATCCCGATATGGTTGTAAATTCACCCTAAGTTCATATCATGTAATGATGACCCCTTTTTCTCTCTCTCTACCTACTAAGCCCATCCAACCCACACACGGTATGCCTTAGATTTTCCGTTTTTCCGAAATAAAATCCCCGAGCGACGATCTTATTACCCCTGGAATCCTTCGAAATCTACCCAAAAAAGCGATAGAGTACATTACTATTTCCTAGAGTACAAAACCTATTTCCCCATCCAGTGGAAACTATCTTTAATAAGCCCAATACCAAAACCACAAAAATCCCCCTGTGCCTCATCCTCTTATATATGCCTTCTCCCTATTTTTTCCAAAAATCTTTGAACGTCTCCTTAAATGACTAATTCGTATATTCACCTCTAAAAACTTAATTCCTAAACATCAGTTTTGAGAGCAGTTGACACGATATCCTCGGCTCTAGGAAACAAACAATATTGCTCAGCCGTATTTTTGGACGTTACGGTCGTTATGACGGAGTTTAACACCTTTACAAGTTAAAACGTATCCTTTCTCACACCTACTATTTATTCCTGAAATCCTTCCAATCAATGATTTAAAGTTAAAATCGGCACCGATTTTTAACTTATCACGCCAATCAAACTTGGCGTTCCACAAAGATCCTAGGTATATCCTCTACAGTCTACACTGCTGACTTACCTAAACATCCAAACACTCGACTCACAACCTGAGCGGACGAAACCGAAACCTATCCACACTCCAATCATAGCCTAGCCACAGAAACAATGCAACAACATGAACCTCATAGCCGCCGATGGTAGCACTCGGTGGCGAATCAGTTTGAACGGGGAAAAAATCAACAAATTACGTTTACTCTCAAACGTCAAGCCTGCCCACCAGTGCACATAAACAACAAAGTAATACCACAATCCAACCAATTCCGCAACCTTGGGCTTTACTTACATAGGACTTACATGGAACCCACATATATGATTAATAAGACAAGAACATAACAAAAGATACGTACTGTTCAGACCCCTACTGGGATCAAAATCCACACTAAACATTAATAAACTAACCGCTTACAAAACACTCATCAGACTATTTAGACTTAAGTGTCATAGCTATAGAGCTAAGTAGCTACATCGTTTCGAATGGTTAGTTACATTTTTGGTTTTGTTTGTGCAGGTGCAAAGATAAGGAGTACCAAACGGACAAACTCCCAGCTACCAGTGTAATTATAACGTTCCATAACGAAGCGAGATCGACACTTCTCAGGACTGTAGTGAGGTAAGAATCTTAGCGTTCTACAAATATTTAAACAAAAAAAGTTTTTTTTTTCGTAGATATTATAAGGAGCGATTATTTATCTTTAAAAATAAATAATTTGTTCAAGTCTTGAGAAGCGGTTCAAAAATAAAGTTAAATATTAGGATTTCTTCAAAACCTACTGATAATTATGAATTTCTACCTTCTTTTGTTAAGAAATCATTTAATATTGCGTCTATCTAAATTATAAATACTGAACTTCGCTGTTAAAATATAGGCTGTGAAATCGATTAATGATGATGACGAATTAATTTTGTTTTTTATCGGCTCAGGGCAGTTTTGGGCGTGTTAGATTAAACATTTGGTTGAATTTGGTGATGCATTTTGTCTAAAACGTCAAAGGGTCCAAAAATCGTTTTATCTTCTCGGTCGTCATATTTTCAAGTAGTTCTACCGCCAAGCGTATTTCCCTCTCTATTACATGCCCTATCCGTTTTCTTATTATTATATTTTTATAATAAAAGAGGTTAAGATGGTTCGTGGGTGGCAGGGCACAGATGCAAGGGAACACACCGGTCGGACATCAGAAGGTTGTGCATGACCCAGCATCCCCTTTTTTTCGTAATCCGGGGACTTATTGCGGCCCAAGGATCCCCCCAGACTGAAGAAACCTGTGCCATCCTAAAATTAACCTTTTTCGTTGTATTGATATCGCCATTATAATTGTGTCAGTTCGTTTGAATATTTATTCCATATTATTGAAAATTCCCTTAACCAATCAATCCTAATGGTATTATCCCCAAAGAATTTCCGGAAGGAAGTATGGCATATTAAAACTTTTTTCGGTCATCTTCACTTTACACGGCTTTACAGCTTGACAAAATTTGATTCACTGTAACTATTCTCCACACGTGGAATAGGTTGGGGCGTCCTCCCTGCAAATCCTATCCTTAAACCTTACTTTACACCATACAAACCAAACTTAATCCTCCAAACCGTTTAGTCCTTCATATCCGCTCTTTCCAAAATTTTAGAAAAATCATTTCTAACCCAATTTACATTCCGACCTTCCCGCTCTTTCCAGCCGGCCTACGTATTTGACATAATTTATCATGAACTAGAAAAGTTGTATTGCTTCATCGACATTGGCCTGGACTTTGGTCTCATGTACAAGCTCAAACTTCGAAGTAAAGAAAGCTTGTTGTTAGTTCTTGCAAAAATTTTCTTTCTTTTCAAAATGAGATGATTAAAAGGTCAAAACATTCTTTGTTCTCTGTTAGGTAGCGAGGTAATAACTGATTTCATTTTAATTCGTTTCAGTAATTTTATTAGGCCATTTCGTCAGATTTGTTTTAAAATTATTAAATAGTTATTATTGTATTTTACTTCAAATTTCTTACTTTCATTTTTAACGCCTCTAATGGCGTCCGGCTTTCTTTAATGCATTGCCTGCGAGGAATGTAAGGTCAAAGTTGCGACGAAAGTTGCTTTCCGTGACTTGCTGCAAATCTACTATAAACTGCTTTAATCTCGTGGCCTTTCCATTGGTGGTTCATAACAATTTCCGAAAGCCGAGTAGCCAGTTGTTACAATTTTTCTAAAATAAACATTTTACACTGATTTGTTTATCGGTCCATGTTGATATTGGAATTGTACATAAATAATAAAAGATTGCGCAAATTGGATTGAAAACTTTCACTCCGTGTCCGACAATTTTTCGAACTATCACGTTTTTTCATGGGGGGGGGGTGAAATCGAATTTTCATGTTTCATATTCAAGGGAGATGTAGAGAAAATGGCCTCTCTATTGAAATCCTCAGTCAACCTACCTTGGATTAGGCGACAGGAAGATTTGATTTCGGCTTGTGATCCCTCCAGGAAAAAAGAGAGGAAAAGTAGCACAAATTAATCAGCAATTAATAAAGCAAATCTTGTTTTGAACTTATTGATCACCTTTCACTGGATGAAGCATTCGACTTGCTTAAAAAGTTAACTGAATAAGTTTTTGCACCCATCCAAAATTTGATTAATATAATAAAATAACGATTTTGATTCTTTAAATAGATATTGAGAAACAAGTGTTGGTTTATTACAAAAGAAATATCTGTTCAAGTTCCTCCAGTTAATTTGCAAAAGTCTTTCATCGAAAATGGTTGACCTAGCTCTAAAGAACAGGATAGTTGTAGGCAAATAGCCGTGATATTGTGTTAAATTGTTCAACTAAACAACCTTATGATTTTTATATACTAAATGTGCCAACTTGTTCAGGAATGTTATTTACTGTTTTTTGAATAAGTTTTGCTAATCTTGTTACTGAGTAATAAGGTTTAATTTTTTTTCGATGTCAAAAGGCATAGTTGCTAGGTTATCTGTTTAAGAATGAGTTGATGGAAAGCGGTTGAGGATACTGAATTTTACCCTGCTCTGGCTACCTTTTTGATCCTTCCTTCCTCGATCTAACTTTAACCCATACCACGATCCATACACCGTTAAGTTTTTCTGGTTGAGTTATGTTTTGGGCTGTGTTGGAGGGCTGATCTATATCTAACCTAGCCTGATAAACGTAGATTTTCATGCATGATCCAATTTTCGTTCCACGTTATGATCGCAAAGAAAATGTCTTTTTTTATTTTTTAATGGAGGTTACCGACAAAGGAGTCATATCAGCCCCCAATGCACTGTGAGAGCTGGGTACTGAATATTTCGCCAACGGCCCTCTCACTTTCTCCTTCACACAGACATACATTACATACAGTTCATTACATACAATAATTTCACTCTAAAGTTGGGATATCTCCTTCATTAACCTTAAAAGTCGGTACAGGGGACCCAACAACACAATCACATATGCCCAAGAACTGCCGTTATATCGGGTGCCATGTCGCATCTACAAGCGGAACACCTGCCCCAATAGCAGGTGTCTTTGTATCGTTCGGATATGGCCTATCCTGATATGGGTAAATACTCGTTGCAGACAATTGGTGGGACATCGCTCAGTCGTGTTCCTGGTACGCAAGAGCTCGAACAATCCGGTCCAATGACTGTCAACCTTCTTTTATTGCGTTCTTTACTGCGCGTACAGCGTCAGAGGTCGCGGTGGTTCGGTCTGGAGGGCGATCCCAGTTTTCATCGCATCGTCTGCACTTCCGTTGCCCTCCAGCCCATATCCAGGTGGCCAGACGACTACCAACGGTTTTAGAGGTTCATTACTCTTGCGCAAGCAGACAAACTCTTACGTTCATTTAGGTCCTGTGTGACCCACCTAATGAGCTTTGTAAATTGTCCGACTAATTTTTATTGCATGACAACTTTTTGCTATTCCCAATGTCCAGCAAGTTAGGCACAGTTAGATGTGGAATTACCTCGGCATCTTTGCATCAGTCGAGTTGGAAGGTCTTCCGCGGGATTTGTTTTCATAGATCGTTGTTATAATATATAACAAATCAATAAAAATATATAAAAATCGCGTTTTCATTGCGCCTTTTAAAGTAAAACTAAACTGTGAAATGTCTACTTGGAGAGAAAACAAATTTTATTATCGAAATAGAGGCTAAACAAATGTTTAGCAAAGATTGTCAATATTTTGTTTGGAATCAATAAGAAACTTTCCACTGTTCCTCTTGAGAATATTGTAACAAAAACCCAAAACACAATGTTGTCCTTCTACTCTGTTCGTTTCTATGATGTTGGTTAAGCTTGAACTCTTCTTGTAGAACCATCCGATACAAATTGCGAACATTAAAGAAAAATGCCTTTTGCCAACTAAACGAACTATGGCACGCACGAGTTATACCAATTTACTGCTTAATTTCATGAAAAAAACGAGTAGTCCAAATTACGGAGGAATACAAATTGAGACGAAAAACGATTCTCGGACGCAGGCACGCGACAGTGGTTCAATAAACAAATTTGCTTGATAGTTCCCTATCACCTTGGTCTGCCACCCTTTCTGATATTTATTGGTTCGGGATTTCGTCGTCTTGAGTGATTGAATAACAAACACGTCTGAATCAAGGATAGACAGACCAAGATGATAGGCAACTATCAAATATTAGGTTTATCACCCCACATTATTTATCTCTGTAAATCTTAGGGTACTAAGGGTGTATTGTACCCTTCCTTTTAGAAGGCTGAATTAGCCCTTTTTTTTTCTTAAAACTCGTTAAACTTCAATCCCCAGTCATCGCGGATATGTTGAAAGGCTGGAAGAAAGAGCTGCAAAAGGATGACGGACAAAAGTGGTGAAAGGCCGCAGGGCTGGGCGCTCAAAATCGAAATCCGTTCACGTACGCGAACAAAAACTTCTTTCCCACGTTCCTTGCGCGCATCGCACATGTGCAATTTTTTCACCGACTCATGGGCTTCTTTTCTCCTTTTTTCCTTTATCCCAATCATCTTCCGGTATCGATTCCCACCCAAAACCGTACAGTTCCAAAAAAAAAATTATTCTTTTAAATGGCTCAAAAATGAGAAACACAGGAAGATAGGTAGGGAGACTGGGATGGGTAGTCTTAGGCGATTATTTTCGTCTATCAACCAACCTGCGAAATCATGCGAACCAAGATGATCGAAAACGACCTACTACGGTTCATCGTTCCTGCAGACCTCAACAAAAAAACATGCCAAGCTTTCTTGGATTATATCCTACATATTATCAACAATAATCGTAATAAAATCTTATTCACTGCAATACAAACTGTTAATGATTTGGCGGCGTTAACAAATAATTACCCTCACTTTCGCGAAAGAAGTACTTTATGTACACAGAATACACAATTGAAAAATGGCAAAAAAGTGGAAAAATTTGAAAGGTTCTAGGTTGACATGGAGAGTTGGTACGCAGTCACCTCTCAGCGGCGTATTGAGCCGCAGGTCGTGGGTTCGAATCCCGCTCGTGACGCTAACTTTTTCATCTCAACCAAGACCTTACATAAAAAAAAAAGAATTAATTGAAATAATACACAATGTTGAATATATTTATACTGATTATAAATAGATAAGTTCACAATCACGCTGGTCAC